ATGTATATTTTAAGTATTTTTTTACAGGAAATCTTTTCTTATCATGGGTCACATTTACCATTTTAACCACTCTGAAGTGTACGGTTCAGTGGCACTAACATTGATGGCCAACATTCACATTGCTGGACAACCATCACCTCCACCCGGCATCAGAACTTTTTATCTTCCTGAACTGACACTCTGTACCCATTAAACACAACTCCACACCGTTTCTTCCCCCAGAACCTGGCAACCACCACTCTACTTTCTGTATCTATGAATTTGACTACTCTAGGTACCTCATATAAATAGAATCATACAGAATTTTTCCTTTTGTGATTGGCTTATTGCACTTAACATAATGTCCTCAGTGTTCATCCATGTCATAGCATGTGTCAGAATTTCCCTTTTGGGGGGCTAAAATATGTTCCTTTTGTATATATACCACATTACATTTACCCATTCATCTGTTCGTCGACACTTGGGTTACTTCCTCTTTTTGGCTATTGTAATAATGCTGCTATAAATAGCATTATTGCATATATGGGTGTACAAATCCCTGTTTGGGTTCCTGCCTTCATTATCTTTTAAGGTTTAAGTGGTTTTAAGAATATTAAAGAATGCAACTTTCAAGGTCATTTAAATTACATTTCTTGGGCTCCCATCAAATTCAACATCCCGAGTTATGAAAAAGACATTTACACATAATAAGTTTATCCCCCAGGGTGGCAGCTGTGGATTTCTATTAATAGAAGAATCAGGAGATGGTATAACTTAAATCTACGGAAGCAGACTAACTTATCCCTCTTGACGTTTTGAAATCATTGTCAAAACAGCCATGTAACTAGGGTACAGCATGCCCAATCAGGGTCACAAATAAGAATATAGGCAGTTGCCCTCACCGGTGTGCTAAGTGGTTAGAGCATTGGCCTTCAGACCGAAGGGTCTCGGGTTTGATTCCAGTCAAGGGCACATACCTCAGTTGCAGGCCCCCTGGTTGAGGCACGTACAGGAGGCAACTAGTCCATGTATCTCTCTCACATTGATGTTCAATCTCTCGCTCTCCCTCTCCCATCTTTCCACTCTCTCTCTAAAGATCAATGGAAAAATTACCCTCAGGTGAGGGTTAAAAAAAAAAAAAGAATATAGGCAGCTTCCTGGCTTTGAACTATTAGTACAGAATGTCAATTGCAACCAAAAAGGTTGCATATGGCTTTAAGACCCTTCTAGCTGTCATGATGAACAGTTCAAAGGGCTATGGAGCTGAGCCTAGAATGCTTTCAACTCTTTTTTTTTTAAGGGTTTTATTTTGAGAATAGTTTTTTTAGTATATATATATTTTATTAATTTCAGAGAGGAAGGGAGAGAGAGAATCATTGATCGGCTGCCTCCTACACACCCCTACTGGGGATCAAGGCCGTAACCTGGGCATGTGCCCTTCACCAGAATTGAACCCGGACCCTTCAGCTCCCAGACCAACGCTCTATCCACTGAGCCAAACCAGCCAGGGCAGTTTAAAATCTTTAGCTGTTTCCTCCATACTTGGAGCTCAAATTTCTGTCTTTGTCCAGGACCCACTTCTATTCCAAGGTCTTTTCCACCTACATAGTCTGTCAGGCCAAACCCAGACTCCACAACAACACTTCTATTCCAGTTGGGAGACTAAGTCCACATAAATAGAATCAGGAGAAAGAACTGTCTTCAATCTGGGTCAAGCAGCTTGTGTTCTGGGAAGTACTTGACCATGTGTGTGCAGGCGGTCCGTGCAGTCACTGCAGCCCTGTGGACACCTAGGCACAACCACATGAAAACTGCCACCAAAATGCAATGAGCCTGCTGTAGCCAGTTTGGCTCAGTGGATAGAGCATCGGCCTACGGACCAAAGGGACCTGGTTTCGGTTCCGGTCAAAGGCACGTACCTTGGTTGCAAGCTCTTCCCGGCCCAGGCCCTGGTCAGGGCTTGTGCAGGAGGCAACCAATTTATGTATTTCTCTCACATTGATTCTCTCTGTCTTTCCCTCTCTCTCCCACTCTCTCTAAAAATCAATGAAAAAATATCCAACTTCCTTAAAGGACTTTAAAAAAAAATGCAGTTAGCCTGACTCTTCTGCAAATTGCAGCTACTTCATAAAACCCCTAAAGCCTAGAAGAGTTCTTTAATCTTCACCACCTTCCTCACAGTTCTCTTACAGTGATGGTGAACAATTATGTAATCGTGGTTTAAGAATAACCCAGCTGGAGCGGTTCAGTGATTGAGCATTGACCTATGAACCAGGAGGTCATGATTTGATTCCTAGTCAGGGCATATGCCTGGGTGGTAGGCTCGATTGATCCCCAGTGTGGGGCATACAAGAGGCAGCCGATCAATGGTTCTTTCTCATCACTGATGTTTCTATCTCTCCCTCTCCCTTCCTCTCTGAAATCAAAACATATACATAGGTATACGTGTATCCACAGAGGGAGTGATAAGGTAACTTCCAAGTAAAAACATCTTTATCTCACATATCCTAAAAGTTAACAACTCTGGAGGACTGATTTCCTTTCTCTTCAAAGGCATGTTTATATTTGCTGATACTTTCTGTTTACAAAATAGGAACTTGGATCGCTTTTCAAATTTACATACCATACGTGTGTTTACCTGCAGTCCGTGGGCTTTCCTCCCTCTGTGGATCACAAAACAATTTCAGGAAAGGTAGCGAAGAGGTTGGGGGGGGGGGTGTTAGTCCTATTTAGAAAAGAAAACCAGCTTCCTCATTTCTTCTTTCAGGCAGACTCCTTTTAGTAAACAGTGAAAGTGGTATTTCAAAAAATCTGAATTTGTGGTCTTATATTACAATGAACGTCACAGTTTGAAAGTACCGTACTGGCAATTTAAGGGGAACCTTAAATTGTATAATGACTGAGAGCCCTTATTTTAAACTCTGCAAGAACCAGTACGATTGTTTCATTTAGTGAGATTTTTTATTAAATTAGCAATAATAAAAAGTTGTATGGGATTGAAAGGACAGGATGGGAAATAAAGGTGGTTGACCTGTAGCCTCTGGGGACCTGGGGTGTCTGCAAAGGTTTTATTTGTGTGTGTTGGTGAAGTTAAGTGTTTGAGGCCAGCTCCACCAAGGGACAGGCCCAGCCCCCATTCCCTAGACCCGGGGAAATGGGACACCTCTCTGCTCTGAAATGTTGATGAGCTGTGGAGGGGAGAAGGACAGGGGAGCAGATGGAATTCCTGGACAATTGTTCCGGCTGTCACCAGAGAAGACGGGCAGAAGGGAGCACTGGATAATTTACAGAGGAACAGATGCCGAGGATCCTCCGGAACCATCTGGCCGAGAGGGGCCTGGGCTCCGGGTGGATGTTGTCTTTAGATCTGAGTAAGCTTCTCTGGGGCCTCCAGCCCACCCCACTTCCTCTACCTGAGCTGTAGCTTTCCCAGGAGGACTCTGCTCCCTGAGGACCCACCTCTCGAGTTCCACCTGGCTCTCATTCTACTCCTTTCTTTTCTGAGCCTGGGTTCTGTGTGGCCTACCATTCCTGATAGGGCCGCATCTGGCCTTGGGGGCCTGTAAAACATTTTTCTATTCTGTAGTATTTTAAACCTCTCCTCCTCACCTCTATATTCCAAAATTCCTCTATCAGCCCTACCCTAGCCAGTTTGGCTCAGTGGATAGAGCGTCGGCCTTCAGATGGTCCCAGATTCCATTCTGGTCAAGGGCAAGTTGCTACCTCTTGCCTGGGTTGTGGGCTTGATCCCCAGTCGGGGGCGTGCAGGAGGCAGCCAATCAATGATTCTCTTTCATCATTGATGTTTCTATCTCTCTTTCCCTTTCCCTTCCTCTCTGAAATCAATAAAAAAAATATTTTTAAAAAAGGTTTTTAAAAATTTCTTTATCATTCATCTCCATGCCATTTATTAGTTCAATAAACATTTATTGAACATCTACTATGTTCGGATTTGTTTTCGACACTGGGGCTACAGTGACGAGTGAGAAAAAGTCCCAGACCTGTAGAGTTTGCATTATAGTGGGAGATGGTAAATATACCAAGAAATACTTAATATGTCAGATAACAATAAGTTCTATGAAAGAAAAAATTAAGGCAGGGTAAGGGAAAGTGGCTGAAGATGCTGTTTTAGATAGAGTGGCCAGGGAAGTCTTCTCTGAGGTGGTGACATATGAGCAGAGACATTCATGGGAGTGAATATCTGGAGGAAGAACATTCCCCGCACAGGGAACAGCAAACCTAGAATCCTGAGGCAGAAGTATGCTTAATGCATTAGAGGTTGCCATGCTCTTTAGTCATTAAGCATTTATTTTTTTTCCGGGTACCCGCTGGGGAATGGGGAATATGAAGATGCAATCAGACAAAGTTTTTGCCTTGATAGAGCGTCAGCTTAGTGAGGGATACAGCATGTAAACGAATAATTACAGCACAGGTTAACTACAATGAAGTTGCGTGTACTAGTAAATGCAAAAGGAGCACCAAATCCAGTCTGGGGGGTCGGGAAAGGATTCCGGGAGGAGGTGACAATTTGAGCTCAGGGCTGGAGGCGTAGGAATTGATAATGCAAGGGGAGAACAGGACTTGGGCATTTTAAGACCTGAATACACAGGGCAATTGGGAGCCTGAAGTCCCGGGAGAGGTGGAAAATTAGGCTGGTGAATGTGGAGGAGGCTGGGCCATGCGGATCTCTGCGTGACAATCTGAGAAGCTGCTTTTATTCTTTGGATGATGGGAAAGCAGCGCTAAGACTCTCCCACCATATTTTTGTGCTGTTTCCCCCTATTCTGTGTGTGTGTTTTGGGGGGGTTTTTTGAGTACCAGAATATTTCCCCATCCTTCCCGCTACTTCCCTACTGCTACACCTCCTTCCTCCTCCAGCGGCCTGGCTTCCGAATCCCGCTCCGAGGACATCCCCATCATTCCCCTCCACCCGGCGCCCAGCCGAGGCCACGCCCATCGCCACGCCCCCCGGTGACGCAAGGCGCCCGGTGCGTGGGGATTCCCAAAGCCGTGGCCACTACCCGGCCTGCCCCGCGACAAGATGGCAGCCTGAAGGCAGCGGGCCGCGGAAGAAAGTTTGTTGTGGGCTTGGAGTAGTCGGGCCGGGAGGCCGGAGTTCGGGGGAGGGTCGTGGGGGCACTGGCCTGGGGTCGGGGCGGAGGAGGGACTAGCTCCAGGGTTGCGGAGAGGAAATGGAATGGAGGAAGGTTTGGGGCAGAGAGAAAACAAGAGGGAGCTTGGGTAGGAAGCGAGGGACCCTAGGATCCAATGGCAGCCCTGGGGGAGGGGTGCAGGGCGGGGAGCCTGAAGTAGGTTTGCCGGTCCCGGAGAAGCAGAGTCACGATTTGCAGGTGCATTTTTCAACTGAGAAGTAAAGACACCCGCAGCTCGTGGCCGAGGTCCGACTGCATCAGGCCGGTGGGGGAGCCACGGGGTCTTTCCTGTGGGGAGCACAGTGGGGAAAGGGAAGCCTGGAGGATGCTGGGCAGGTTTGGTGAGGAAGGGACTCAAGCCAAATGACCCTTACAGACTTAGACCAGCCTTTCCACAGTCTCTGTAGGAGCATCTGCCCCAATTTCAGCTGAAGACCCTGGGGGCCCAGGGACTGGAAGCATCACAGTGCCTGCCTGGAGGAAGAAGAGGTAGCGACCTGCCCAAGCCCAACCCCAAAGCGGGTAAGGTGGCCTCCGGAGACAGGCTGGCATGCTCCCCGGAAGCAGGATGCATGGGCTCGGAATGATGCTGAGAATCACTAACTCTGAGGAGGGCGCTGTTCTATAGAGGTTACCCTTTGCCTGTGGTCCCTAAATTAGTATTCTACTTAGATTGCATGCTGATTTCTCGAGAGTCGGAGGTAGAATTGTGTGCCTTCACCTCTGCAAGCAAACATGGGCAAGTAGCCCGGAGATCAGGCTGTAAATATTTTAACACACCCCTGTCACAAGCAGTTTCCTACATGTTCACTGTCTTCTTCAGTTTTCCCATCACATCTTCAGTTTGGTATCCTGCCTGAAGTGGAGATTTGTGGGTGACAGATGGTGGGGAGTCATGAGAAAACAAATTTCTGATGGTGTTCACTGACTGTTTTTTAGGCACCTGCTGCTACCAACTCCTGAGTTCACTCTTGCAGCATTTCTCTTTCTCTCTCTCTCTCTCTCTCTCTCTCTCTCTCTCTCTCTCTCTCGTGTGTGTGTGTGTGTGTGTGTGTGTGTGTGTGTGTAAGAAGGGCTCCTTAGTGTTCTTGGGGGTGTGGATTTGGTGGTAGGTTGGGTCAGAGGAGGAGGAAAGGCAGAAGAATCCAGATGGATTTATGGTAAGAGGTCAAGCTGACTGGTGTAAAGCGCTGGGAATGTTTATTACATAGCTCTCTGAGACCCCTAATATTTTGAGAACTGCTTTACAGCCTGGACAGTGTGGTGATGGAAGTAAAGGATTGTGGAACTTGCCCTTTTCTCTTCTGGTAGCTTGCTTCTCTTCCTTTGTGCTCTCCCCATCAAATCACATTTTAAAATAAATCAGTTTAGTAGCCAAACTAAACATGGCTTTAGAGATAGTGGACTTGGGGTTGGAGAAAAAGAAAGGGGTCTGGAGCCACGGAATGCAGTGAATATGGTCCTCCCTTGCTTTGATGCCCTGTGGTTATGCCCAAGCCAAAGTTGGGAGTAGGCTTCTTACTGAAGCCAGTTTCAGGGCTGACCTCTGCTCCATGCCTGGACTGGGAGGTCTGGTTTGGTCTTGGACACCTCACTAACCATCTCCTGATCCCTGCTCTAACCGCCCCCCCCCCCCCAAAAAAAAAGAAACGTCTGAATGCAGACACACCAACCCAAATCACTGTTACTGGGCCAGCTTCAATACCTTCAGGTACCTGAAGCACTGATGCTATTTAGCTGTGCCTCCATGAGAAGGTTAAGAACCTTTTCTTTCTGAAGACAATGTGTGGATGCCCCCTTGGAAAATGTGATCAGCAAAGTCAGTGTGGTGAGTGTGTGTACCGGTTAAGAACATTGACTCCAGAGCCAGACTGTGTAGGTCATATCCTGGGCTTTGCCATTTTTCTAAAGCTCTGTGACCCTTTAGAAATTACACAGATCTCCCCTGGCTGGTGGTGCTCAGCCGGTTAGAGCATTGGGCTGCACACCAGAGGGTTGCAGGTGCAGGAGGCAACCAATGATGTATCTCTTCACACAGCAATGCTTCTTCCTCTCCTTCTCTCCCCTTCTCTTCCTTTGTGCTCTCCCCCATCAAACACATTTTAAAATAAGTCAGGTTATTAGCCAAATTAAACATGGGAGAAGTCTCTCCCCTGCCCTTCCACCTTCTCTAAAAATAAAAAAAA